GAGGGGGACTCCAGAGGGAGTGGCTCTAGGAGACAAAAATGGAACCCTGAGACCACCTCATGAGTGCAGTGTCTTGAGAGTGTTTTGCTGTTGCTGTTCTGGCCCGAGGTTTGATGCCTAATTATTTACAGGTAGGTGAAAAACCCAGCAACAGAAAAACGAGGAAAAGCATAAAGTTCTGAAGAAAGGAAATGCGGAATATTATGTGGCTCAACTGTGATGGCAATAATGTACACCAGCAATGTGAGGTGAGTCCATCAGGAGGCTGGCGAGATGATAAATTATGCTTGGGTGGTGAGAACGGCACAGGAGAGAGAGATCTTTATTCTTGTTAGAAATCTAATGGACACTGACGTAAATTGGGAGGAAGAAAGAAAAGAAACAGGAGCATAAGTATGTTGTTTAGAAATAAAATAAATACCAGAGAAGAGATGAAAGAGATGCTGCCATAGGGCTGAGAACTGGGGATGAGGAGGGGTTGAGGAGGGGCCAGAGACTATTACCTTCATTCAGCCTTGTAGTATCATTTGCCTTTTACAACTTTACAAATGCCCTCTTTGTTGAAAACTAGCATTTAAAGTGTATCATAATATTAAGATACCCATTTTTAAATGTTTACATTTTTAAGAAACATTGCGCAGGCCAAAGCAAAATAGTGCGTGAACAGGCCATCAGTTCAGTGTCGGACATAAGTGATTCAAATTCAGCACAGCGAATTTGGGAGAGGCAGCGAAAATTCGGGAGAGGCAACAAGTCCTTCTGTAGGAGTGTGTGCGGAGTCACAGGATGGCATGGGAGGAGAAGGGGAAGCAGGCAGGGGCCACCCCCGAGAGAAGCACAGCCACGTGGAGACGCCTGTTCTTTTGGAAAGCAGTGGGCAGCCGAGATTTCATGAAACAAAGGATTTGCGATGAAGGTAGTGAGAAACAAACAAAAGTGCTCAGATAAGGCAGTCAGGGAAATGGGACTTGTTAAGCTCTGGTGGCAACCTATGTTTTCGAGATGGTGATCATAAAATCAAAGGTCGCTCTGAAAAGTGGAAAATGTTTGTATCAATAGACTCTGAAAAGTTACTTGGTGAAATTCAGTGACCATTTCTAACTTATTTAAAGCCCTAAATAAAAGAGTAAAATAATGAGGCTCCCTTAACATCACAGAGAATATTTGTTAAAAACAGCAAGCCCTAAGCCAGGCACCGTGGTAAGTGCCTGCAGTCCCAGCCACCCAGGAGGCTGAGGTAGGAGGATCGCTTGAGCCCAGGAGCTTGAGTTCAGCCTGGGTGACTGAGTGAGGCCCTGTCTCAAAGAAAAGAAAAGAGGAAAGAAAAAAAAAAAGAAAGAGAGAGAGGGTGAGAGAAAGAGAAAGGAAGAAGAAGGGAGGGAGGGAAGGGGAGGGAAGAAGAAAGAGAAAGAAAGAGCAAATATTAGACATGTTTAAACACAATTGTACAACTGAGGAGCCAGGTTGGGTACTTGCAATCCATTATTCAACAGTGTGTTGTAAGTTTCAGCTAAAACAGCAGATAAAAGAAAATGAACTAAGAGGTACAAACTGGTAAAAAAGTAGAGAAAAAACCCTAGAACTGTACTTTCTGTATGGCAACCACTAGTCTCACATGGCCATTTAAATGAAAGCTAATTAAAATGAGATGCAGTTAAAGGTTTGGTTCCTCAGTTGCACCCTCCACATCTGAATGTTCCACAGCGGAACATGGCTGGTAGCCATCACACCGGCAT